AATTTGGTTACATACAAATATTATCTATGAAATTTGGTGTACTTATACAGCTGCTAGGTGGGGAGATAATAATCTTACGGGTATAGCTCTCTCACTAGTAGCAATCAAACGTTTACAAAACAGCATACATACCCTTTACTATAGTTTAAAAAATAGCTCTCCAAAGATTAAAAAGATTTTTAAATCTATTCAAATGTAATTAAACAATAAACTTAATAAAAGAGCGCCACACACGCCCCTAGATGTTAACATCAGGGATAAAAAAAAAAAAAAAAAAACTACTAAACACACTCTTAAAGAGTTAAATCAAGCTTATAGAAAGAAAAGAAGAACTGAAGCTAATAAAATAGATACTGACCAACCTGAACAGTCAAATAGAACAATTGAAAAACATAAAGAAACAGTTATAACTAGTAAACTTCCTGAAGGCAAAAAGGCTAAAAGAAAGTTAGCATTTTCTGAGAAACCTCTAATTAAGCAAAAGACAATGCCATATTCTATTATGTCTGATCTATTACACTCTAGATTAAATATAACAATTGCTTAGCTTTTAACTATTCCTCAGTATAGAAATGAGTTAAAGAAATCTTTAATTCCCAAACAAGCAAAAAGACTAATTAAAAGAAATATAAAAAAACAAACTGTTCTTGGCAAAACTACCTCTGGAAATACTCCTATGATTTGTAAAGGACAGGTTTCTAGATGAACTATAGAAATAATCATTGATAGTAGGTCTTCTACAAGTATAATATCTAAAAGGTTTATGGAATATATTAATCGTAAACCAAATAGGATATCTAAAAGAATGATAACTGGTATTCATGATAACAAAAGATTAAGTAAAGGAATAGTAGATGATATATCTGTTTATTTGGGTAATGTAGTTGTTTCTGCTGATATAGAAGTAATTAATACCAACACCTATAATTTGGTTTTTGGCAATAATTGGCTACATAAAGCAAAAGCTATTATTGACTTTAATCATCCTAAAATTACTGTTAGTAATAGTAATAGAATAGCTGAAATTCCTTGTCGTAACACTACTCAAATAAATATTAGAAATAAAAATAATAACAATTATGATGATAACAATTATGATAATAATAATAACATTGAGGATGATGATAATGAGAATAATGATGATAATGAAGATGATGATGAAGCAAACGAGAATGAAGATTTTATTGCAAGTTATAGTTTGGTTGTTTCAAAAGATGAAAGTTCTGACCAACATTTTTATTGAATAAGTTCAACTGGAATAGAAATTGATAATGAATCCTACTCTTAGGAAGAGTATAAACACTTTGAATATCAATTTCATCCTTTATATACTAGTCAACAAGATTAATCTAAACATACAAATTGGTTCTCTGGACCAAACAGAGAATATTGGTGTAGAAAAATACTCTTAAATTCTACTAACATTTGTGAACAATATTATAATGAATACAAATGTTAGGAGACTTTACAAATAATTTCTCTTAAAAAAATTCAAAGAGCTTAGTTATTTTTGATACAAGGTGGTTCTAAAGAGTTAGAAAATAATGAAAATAAGGAACATATTGAACAGATTATAACTAAATTTCCACAAATTGTTGCAAAGGATATTGATCAGTTAGAAAAAACAGAAATAGTTAAACATAAAATCAATACTGGAAATGTCTCTCCTATTAAACACCATCCTAATAGGATGTCTCCTAAACATGAAAAATTTATCAAGAAAGAGTTAAACTGATTATTTCAACAAGGATTCATTAAAGTTTCTTATAGTCCTTAGACCTTTCTTGCATTGGTTGTTGGCAAGGCTAATAGAAAGTTTAGACTTGTAATTGATTATCATCAATAGAATAAAGTAACTAAGCCAAATGCATACCCTCTACCTTGTATTGCTGATATGATTGATGCTTTGGCTCATAGTCAATACTTTTCAACTCTTGATCTCACTTCTGAATTCTGGCAAATAGAAATGGAACCTGTTGACCAAGAGAAAACTGTCTTTAGTACCAAGTTTAGTACATATGAGTTTACAGTAATGCTGTTTGGATTAATGAATGCACCTATAACCTTTCAACATTTGATGGATAAAGTGTTTTATGATGTATCTTAGAAGTTTGTTCTTGTTTATATGGATGATATAATTATTTATTCAAAATCATATAAAGATCATTGTTCTTATTTAAAAAAGGTTTTTGAACTTCTTACCAAAGCAGGATTAAAACTAAATTCTGAAAAATGTGATTTCTTTAAGAAACAAATCTTATTTCTTGGACATTTGGTATCAAATAAAGGAATTGAACCAAATCTAGTTCTAGTTCAAAAGATTAGGCTATGCAAAACTCTTAACTCTCAAAAAGAAGTTCACTCTTTTCTTAGTCTTGCCTCATATTATTATTACTTTATTCATAATTTTTTACATATTGCAAGGCCTCTTTTTAATTTAACTAAATTAGATGTTGACTTCTGCTGAACAGAAGAATATCAAAATGCTTTTGAATTTCTTCGAAATTGTCTTATCTCTAAATCTATTGTTATATACCCAGATTTTACAAACCCTTTTATTCTTCATACTGATACTTCTGATTTTGCTATTGAAGCTATTTTAGCTCAAAAGGATTCTGAAAATAAGGAACATGTTATTGCTTATGCTAGTCATGTTTTAACTTCTGCTAAACAAAATTATACTGTTACTGAAAAGGAATATCTTGCTATCATTTGGGCTACCAAATATTTTTATCATTTTCTACAAGGACAACCCTTTTGTATTGTAACTAACTATGAAGCTATTCCTTAGTTAAAACGTTATAAATCTCCTAAAGGATGTCTTGAAAGGTAGATTATTCAACTCTCTGAGTATAAACCTTATGATATTATAAAAAGAAAAAAAAGAGATCATACAAATGCTGATGCACTTTCCAGACTTGAATCTATTTATTCTATTAATCAATAACTTCCAAATACCCTATTTTATAAAAACTCTCTAAATCAATACTTAAATAAAATGGATCTGGAACTGTATCAAAATCTTTTATCTTTTTTCTCATAAATTCTTATCTAAATTTACAATACAACAAAAGCAAACACTATCACAACAAGCAACAAATTATTTAGCAAACAATAACATTTTATATAAAAAGAATAAAAAGCATCCTGATAATTTTTATTGAGTTATAACTCTTCTGAAAAGAGATTATCTTTTATTTAATTTATATTCTTCACTTCTTAGAGAATATTTTGGAACTAAAAGAACTATTGAATGAGCAATGGAAAAGTATTATTAGCCTAACATAGGTAGAGACATTAAAAACTATATTGAAACATGTGAAACATGTCAAAAGGCCTCTGGAAAACCAGGAAGATTTCAAATAACCAAATTGATCAAAGCAACCTCACCTTTTAATCAAATTGGAATAGATTTTGTAGGACCTCTTGAAGTAACTAATGAAGGGAATAGAAGCCACAGACTATTTTACAAAGTGGCCTGAAGCAAAAGCAGTTCCAAATACTACTGCAAAAGAAATAGCCAAGTTCTTATATGAGGATATTATTTGTCGATATGGTGTTCCTAGTATAATCCAATCTGATAGAGGTTCATTTTTTCTAAACTATACAATAGAATTATTAAAAGAAGAAGTAGAGTTTAGATATTATTTATCAGCTCCATACCACCCCCAAACGAATAGTTTAGTAGAAAGGTTTAATAGTACTCTTTGTAGAATGATTAAGAAATTTGTTAGTAGTGAATATGAATGGGATCAGTTCATTCCTTCTGTTCTTATAATATATAGAACTCAGAAACAAGAATCTATAAAATATACTCCCTTTTTCCTAATGCATAGAAGAGAAGCTCAACTTCCTATTGACTTAGAATTTTCTATACCACTGCTAGAAGAACCTTATGAACAAGCTCTTGAAAGAAGAATAAGTACAATAATTAGAGTATTTAAAGATGCTTTAATTATTTCTGAAAAAAACTTAGATAATTCATAAGAACAAACAAAACAACAGCAAGAAAAACTTCAAAAACTTTACAAATTCGAAATAGAAGATATTGTTCTTGTCTATGACTTTTCTAAACAGAATATTCATAGAGATAAGTTTACTAATCGATGGTTAGGTTCTATGTAGATATCTGGAAAAATAGGAAATGATATTTATAAAATAAGAGACCAATTTGGAAAGAAATACAACAGTATATATCATGCATCTAAAATTAGATATTATAAGCAAAGGAGTACAATTACACAAAACTAATCTGTTGATCACTCAAATAAGCAAAGATCTAAATTATCATTGATCAGAAATTCTTTATAAAAGTAGACCAAATTTCACTCAGTTTATTCAAAATCTGAACTTTTAAAAATGAATACTCCCCTCCAAAAGG